TATAATATATAATAATAGGTTAAAATAATATACTTCACAACCAATAGGATTTTATTATAACATAAACCTGTCAATTAGGATCGGGTCATGAATCATCTCGGATTGAGTTCACTTTAGATTACGAGTCAAGAAATGTTCAACCCTTGCCCAAAGATTTTGGTTCTGGTCAACCCAACGAGCTTTGAACATTTATCTGATTTAATTTATTTTTTGTTTTTTTTAATGTATTAAATCGAACATTTCCTCCAACATTATTATTAGTCATTACATGCCTACTAGTTAGTAAATCGTCACAAAAGCACATTAATAAACTTATTTTGTATCAATGGTATATTTTAAAATTTGACATATAGATTAAAAAAATTATCTTCAAATTCAATAAACAACCCGGGCATCGCACGGGCACAAAACTAGTATTATAATAATCCTATAATATCTATCACTATCATCTCCAAGAGCTGCCAAGAAGCTATCATTTTCAAAATTATTTCCTAACACCACGGGGTCAAGTTGTCGTCCAACATTTGACAAGTCATAATTCCCAAACACCGCCGCATTAACATCAATCCAAGACGAGCTTGAGCCATCGATCTCATTATTACTATTAGTATTACTTCCAAATGTATCAATTCCAAACGAAGGCGACCCATGATTTCCAAATGTCAAAGCATCATGTTCAAGAGTAGAGGTATCACTACTGTTGGTGTTACTTTGTACAACTTCTTGGTTAGAATTTGGCTCACTAATACTAGGCTGCATTCCCATAACATTTTGAAATAAATCATAGAAATGGTCTGGACGCATTACCTTTGGTGGTCTTTCGTGTGTAATCATCGGATTATCTCTCTTACGGCCCGTTTGCTCATTCGTCATCGCCGGTTTTCCGGGATTGTTCGCGTTATACGACATTGTTTTGATGTTCAAGGGTTCGTTCTTGGAAAAAATAATCTTGATCGAGTAGAGAAAGATTGAAAATTAAAGCTTCAGTTTTAACTTGTAACAAAATGCACAAATGTAAGCTAAGGGATTTTAATTTGGTTTAGTTAGTTGTGTAATGTGTTTAGGCCTGGTTATTGGGTAGGGCTACCCAATGGCAAAAGGGTCGGGCCTAATACTAAAGGGTTTTGACCCTTTAATTTTTTAATGGACAGGGCTTTTATAGGGTCTTATTTTATAGGGTTTTTATAGGGTTTTATTTTATAGCCCAATAATTTAATAATTAAACTAAAGAGCCCAATAATAATTGTAAGGGTCAGCAGTCAGCTACTACCTCTCTTCCATTTTCTCTCTCCTCCATTTTCTCTCTCCTCCATTGAAGCCACTCAGAGTTCTCCATTGAAGCGCAACTTCAGAGTTTTCCATTAAAGCACTCAGAGTTCTCCATTGAAGCGCAACTTCAGAGTTCTCCATTGAAGCGCAACTTCATAGTTCTTCATTAAAGCGCACTCAGAGTTCTCCATTGAAGCGCACTCAGAGTTCTCCATTGAAGCCGCGCACTCAGAGTCTCAGGTAACATCATTTTCTCTCTCTTAATCTGTTATTCAATTTTAATATCTGATTGAAGATCCGGTTTAGGTTATATGATGTGATCGAAAATCAATTCAAATTGGATTTTCTTCTGGGTGATTTTGCTTCTTACTTGAGCTTGGAGAGTGATAAAAGGATTGTGGGTAATTTTTCTACTTATGAGTCTGTTGTTCTTGGTGTTGCTAATGCTGATTTATTTTGGTGTTTTTAATTATAATTTGGGAGTTTTTTTTGCTTGATTATAATTGTGTTTGATCTGAACTCATGGATGAATGATTATAACCCTTAATTTTGTGTGCTAATCATGTCACATATTTTCTGCACTTGTGCCATTGAATGTTTTCATTTCTATATTAGCTACAATTTGAAAATACTTGAATTAAATCAAACCAATAAAGGCTTGATAAAGTATACTATTAATCCATCTATATATTCATACAAAGCCCATATTATCTACTAATATATGTAGTACTTTGAATGAATATAATGTGACTAAGCTGATGATTTAATTATAATTTGGGAGTTTTGCTTGATTTGATTATAGTAGTATAAGAATTGACTAAACTAGCATGATTATAGAACGAGAAAGCAAATGTGGTACTTGTGTGTTGACTGTTAAGGTTAGTGTAGTTGTGATACTACTACTACTACACTGAATTTTGGCGTGCTAGTTTTCTCTACACAGGCTCTACTTCTGGTTTTATTTTGATGTGAAAGATTTTTATGAGACTTTGATCCTGCATATATCTTTGTCTGAGCACAAGTATACTATTTAAAGATTAGTATACCATTTAAAGATTAGTATGCTATTTAAAGATTAGTAGAAGTTAATGGCCCGTTAATGGCCCGTTTTACTTTTACCTCGACCTTGACCCGACCCTGACCCGCATTGACCCTGACCCGACCCTGACTCGCTAAATATTCATCATGACCCGCAACCGACCCGCCCCGCTAATGACCCGCACCGACCCGCACCGACCCGCCCAATAACCACCCCTAAATGTGTTTAACTAAGGGTAGAATAGTATGTATAGTAGTGGCCAGTAGAACAATGGGTTCTTGGTTTGTTAGAATTTTGGGAGTTTAATCCAACAATTGACCGTTGACTATAGTTATTGGCATACTTGTAGATATTTTGAGAGCGTTATCCGTTAGTAATTAGTAGTTAGTTAGGCCGTTTGTTAGGTTGTTAGGATAAATAAGTTTAAGTTGTCCAAATTAACTTTTTTTTCAAGATTACATACATGATTAGTTAGTTTTTATGATTTAAATATTAAGGTAAAATAATTAATTACTCAAAATCCATCATCAGAATTAAATAAAAAATGTATTTAATCTTTAACCTAATCATATTATGAGCTCTACCTCAACATCCATGCGAGGTATTGAGTATATAAGATTATAAGGTTAAAAAAAAAAGTAATTATTTTTCAAATACACATCATTTTATAAAATAAAAGTTGGTATGTATAATTGTATATTTGTATATAGTACTCCAAATATTTGAGAAAATGAGTCAATTGATGAACCAAATAACTACTACACTATAGCAATACCGAGTATATATTCAAGAAAATAGTAGCCAGTTTGTCAAAAGATTTTTAATTGCCGTATAATTTTTTATTTTTTTTTTCTTTTAGTTTATTGAAACTATTATTTTTATACTTTAAAATGGAAAAAATGTATTTAAATTTTAGGGCAATATTTGCCCATTTTAGCCATATAGGCAATAATTTAAATTCTAGGGAGTATTGTTTTCAAAATATTGAATCAAAGATTGGGTGTTGTTTATTAAAACTAAATCTTGAATATTTACCAATCAACCATTATTGCACCCTAGCTTAGAGCATACATGAACTTAATTAAGAATATTGAATCAATCAAATAACAACCCATATAATTTAGGCAAATTTGTTAAAAAAACTTTTTAAAAGCCTCATTTTGCAAGAAAATACCTTTTAAACGATTCTTTGTTAAAAAAAAACCACCACGATCAATTTTTTTTTGTCTAAAGAAACATCACCCCTCTTTTCCGACGATGATTACAACTTTAAATCGTTGACCTACTCTTTTCACTACTTGCAACCTAATGTTGAGTAATTTTCCCTCCTTATTCTTGGGCACCCTAAAAATTTAGGTCAAGCTTCCCCAATTCATTTCATAGAAAATGTAGGGAAATTACCCAAATTAAAGCAATTGAAAGGTAATTTAGGGTTCTTCAATTAATACTTACACAATTAGAGTGCTGATTGAAACAATCTAGGGTTCAATCCATCGTTCTTCTTTCTTCTATAATTTGCTCTCTTATTGTGAGTTCTTCTCTGTTCAGTGATTGCTGTGTTCTTGATGGTTATTTTGCAGGTACAATGGTATATTAGGGAAACCTTGTTTTGCGTCCAAACGACCCCTTTCTTCCTCCTTTAGCTATTGAAAAGAAGAAGTACGTGAGTTCAGAAGTTGAGTAAAAAAAAGCCCTAATTTTAGAAATCATCAAACAAAATTCCAGAAATTCAACAAACTAGGGCAACAAATGAACAATCCAATTCAAAATTTTCAACAATCCATTCAAGTTTTCATGTATTATCTAAGCATAACAGTGCAAAATCATCAAACAACCATGGAGGAAAGAAGATAGAATATTGAAGAAATTATTCTTCATTCGGAGGGAAAAATAAAAGAGGGAATGCAATTATCAAAAGAAGTGACAACAAGTAGGAAAAGTAATTGGTCAACGTCTGAAAGTGGGACGGAGTCAATGCTAGAAAAGAGGGTCCAAGTTTCATTTAACAAAAAAAGTGATCGCGGTGGGTTTTGTAACAAAGAATGCTTTAAAAAGTTTTTCTCACAAAATGAGGCATTTAGAAGGTTTTTTTCTGACAAATTTTCCTATAATTTAATACAAAGCTCACCCCCAACATATTGTCAATGCCATAATTAACAAACTAATTAACTAACTTTCACGATTGATTTTCGAATAATACAGAGTAACATATATAATACAAAGCTTATTTCCATTGTATTATTATCAAATCCTTAATGGAATTTAATGTCATTTATCAGTTTTTCATATTTAGTTTTTCTATTTTTATTTCAATAGTAAGAACTAAGAAGTATAACAGTTGATATTGAATATAATAGTAATGTATTATGTCTTTATACATACATACAAATGGACGAAATACACCACATAACGAAAACTAAGATGCCCACATACATGCATGTACAAATTGTTACATAAAAGAATGTCTAATCTTATTATTGAATTGGTTGAAAAACTTGAAGAATATGTATTATCAACAATTCTGACTAAACAAAAGTAATTATCTTTGCTAAACACAATATTATGTAAATGATATTGTCCAAAATTAGCATTTATAACCAACTATACAGAAACTAATTAACACTTTAAAGGTTTGTCTACAAAAATGATGATGAATTAAGAAAATTAATGAAGCACTCATGATGCACGTAAACTAGGGGCGTTCGGCCAACCATTCCTCTATCATCTTATCAAACTCGTCACTATCACCATTATTATTGGTTGCCAAGCGTTGTCCAACCGGCGGTGGGACTACTTGATGTCCAACCGGCGGCGGGACTACTTGGTGTTCAATTGGAGGCGAGACTTGTTGATGTTCAACCGGCGTAGAGAGTTGACCAGATGACGCGGCCGAGCCTTGTCCATGTACAACTTGTTCAACCGATGTCAAGTCAAATGGGTCAATCCAGGTTGACCCTTGACTTGCAATTGGCGTCGCTAAGTCTTGTCCAACCAATGCCGAGCCATATTGTCCAGTAGTCAACGGCGAACCTTGATTTCCGAACGTTGCAGTAGAGCTTTGAAGTCCAACCGAAATGGATCCTTGTTGAACCGGCTGCGATTGGCGATGTCCAACCGATGCATTCGGGTCATGTCCACACTCCTCCAAGATTTTATCAATTTTGATTTCTTGGTAGTTAATATATCGTCGTGGTGGCGGCGGAGGCGGAGGTGGCTGTGGTTTTGGTGGCGGCGGCGGAGGTGGCGTTGGTTGTGGTTGCGATGGCGGCATCCCTGTATACTGTTGAACCTTGGTCATAAACTCTTCTGGAGTAACTTGGACAAAAGTATCCCTAATTATCGTTATCTTTGGCGGCCTTTCTTCACCATCATCATCATCTACATTGATTGGATCATTACTTTTTCTCTTACGCCCCGTTTGCTCAATCGTCGGCGGCCTCGGCGGTTTTCCAGGATCGTTATACATTATTATGATGTTCTTAAGAATGGTGGGTGTAATTAAGTTCCTTGAAATCTTGAATGTAGATTTTTTTTTCTTTTTTAGGAATATTATGTAGAAATTAAAGAAATGAAATAAGGGTTTTAGTTAGTTGTGTGTAAGTGGAGTGATTAGTAAAATGATTCTTGGTTTGTTATAATTTGTCAGTTTTAATCCTTTCGTTGACATTTGAGTGACGGTTATCAGTTAGTTTGTTAGTTAGGTAGTTAGGCGGTTTGGGTGTTCTATGTCCATTGCAAATTACAAGTTAGGTTATGTACTTATGCTTGATCGAGTGTATTTTCATTTCCCACAGTCGAAATTTTTATACATTTAACCCAAAATTGAATATTCTAATACGGAGTGTGTATATTGCTTTTCATTTACCTACCGATATTATTTTATACATTTAACCCAAACTTGGATAATTCTAATTCATAAATACAAAGTGTGTTTTTAAAGACAAAAAAATGACTTATATGCTATTCTAGAGAAGATTGAATTAGTCCCGCTTGATTTTAGTGTTTTGGAATAATATTGTGTGATATTTGTATTGTATTTAAATTGTTAAATCGGGCTTAGTTGAACAACTTATATGACTCAACATGGGGCACTGCACATTTTTGGATTGACCTTTGATTACATCTAGTTTAAATTTATTCCAAATCGTAATATTAATAAAGTTACAATAAAATATGAAATCAAAATGGTTTAATAGTCAAATACAAGTAATAATACCACCAAATTAATTTTACTTTTAATATCGGCTATTTTTTATCTCGAAAAAAAAAAATTAATGGAGTGAGTATTGTATAAAAACTTTACAAGTGTACATTTTACAAAACAAGCCGTTCTTGAGCAAGGGTTCGTTCTTGGAAAAATAATCGTTCGCGTTTTACATTGTTATGATGTTCAAGGGTTCGTTCTTGGAAAAATAATCTTGATTTAGTAGGAGAAAGATTGAAAATTAAAGCTTGAGTTTTAAGTTGTAAGAAAAGAATGCACAAAATTAAGGGCTTTAATTTGGTTTGGTTAGTTGTTGTATAACCGAAGAATAGAGTAGTATATATAGTTGTTGAGCCTTTTGGTTTTGATGGACAAATTGACAAACTCGACTAATGAATGTTTTGAGTCTTTGGTGAATAAAGGATTCAAGCAAAGTTCGTTCCGGAGTAGGAACTTGGATGCGGAGTAGCATTCTTTAAAAAGCCTCGTGCAAATCTCACGTTCTAGTTTTAATTGTGAGCACTCAATAATATAAAGTCGGAAAGGAACTCAATGACTTATGTTAAAGACTACTGGAATAAAAGTTAGTTTTAAAAGATAATTTCTTAAAGAAAAGATAATTTGTAAAAGTTTTAATAAAGATAATTATCGAAGATAATTATCTAGTTGTTTTAATAAATAATAAATTTATCTTTTCAAATAAAATCTTTTTAAACAAACTTTTGATAATCTTTTAAATAAATATTTGATAAAGTTAGCAAGTGGTTTTTCTGTGAGAAAATCTTTTATACGGCTAATGGTTATCAAGTTGTTAGGATAGTGGTTTAATTAGATAAGGCTAGGAAACCTCTTCATGATCACAATCTGTCAAGATAACTCCACAAGTTGTTAGTGGGTTGTTGACATGTGGACGTGATTATGGTGGAGGTTAATGACTAAGCCTTCTCTATAAATACTCATGCAAACTATCTCAGAAAAACATAACTCTTAAGCATAAAAATTCCAGTAGCCATCTAATAACATAAAGAGAGTTATTTTCCTTCATATATTCTTGAGTGCAATAGGTATTTGTAATCACAGATTGTATACAAGTACTTTGGGGTTGGGATTGTGAGTTTGTAAGGTGAGGTTAAGGAAGCTTCGTTGCTGAAGTCTTCTGTGAGAGTTGGGAACAAGTTCCTAATTTGGGGAACTTGTTAACGGGTTTGAATCTTCACTTGTACAGAGTTTGATTACATAGTGGAAATTTAGAAAAGCCTATATCTTCTCTCGTCATTATTTCATTTAGTTAAATTCCGCAAAAAGTTTTTAGATTTCACCTCAAATACAATTCACCCCCCCTCTTGTATTAGCCAGTTAGACTTTCAGTTGGTATCAGAGCCGGAACTCAGAACACGCAGGCAACCCTGTTGAGTAAGTTCCTGGAAAATGGCTTACACAGAGGAAAAGGAATTCGGGAGTACATCCATTCAAAGGCCTCCATACTTCAACGGCAAATTTTATCCTTATTGGAAGGATAAGATGGAAATCTTTATCCAAGCAGAGAATTATCAGGTATGGCGGATTATACAAGTAGGAGATTACGAAATTACGAAAACGAATGCTAATAATGAGGTAATCCCTAAACCTATGGATGAGTATGAAAAAACTGATTTTGAAAAACTTGAAATGAATGCTACTGCCAAAAAATTTTTAATTTGGGGACTTGGACCCGATGAACATACTCGCGTCAAAGGGTGCAAGTCCGCAAAGGAAATTTGGGATCTTCTGGAAGTTACACATGAAGGAACGTCAGATGTTAAACGTTCCAAAATAGACATTCTTTTGTCTCAGTATGAGCGCTTTGAAATGGGAAACAAAGAATCCATTAAAGACATGTTTACTCGATTTAAAAGTATTACTAACGAACTAACGTGTCTTGGCAAGATAATTCCTATAGATGAGCAGGTCAGAAAAGTCTTAAGAAGTCTTCCAGACAATGACAGATGGAGAGCAAAGGTCGCAGCGGTGCAAGAATCAAAAGACTTCACCAAGTTCAATCTGGAACAGCTTGCGGGTTCCCTCATTACTCACGAGATCCAGTCGAACAATCGGACTCAGGAGACTGTCAAAAGTCAAGGGCTAGCATTAAGAGCTAATGAAGAATCCGAAGAGAAGTCTGACATCGATGAAGAAGAAGCTGCAATGTTGGTGAGAAGGCTGAAAAAATTCTACCGTAACAACAAGTTTTTAGACAAGAAGAAAGGATACAGTAAAAGAAATCAGGAACCCAAAGCCAAGTCTTCTTGTCACAAATGTGGAAGCACCAACCACTTCATCAAAGAGTGTCCATTATGGGAATCTGAGAAAGGCAAGGGAAAAGAAACTGATCAAAGCAGAAATTCCAAGCCTAACTTTTCTAAAACAAATTTCAGGAAAGCAATGATTTCCACGTGGGGAGAATCGAGTTCCGAAGAAGAGGAACAGGAACACACAGACGATGAAGTAGCCAATCTCTGTCTAATGGCAAAGCATGATGATGAGGTAGTCATTCAACCTAGTTATTTGAAATCTCTCTCAAAGGATAAATTAATCTCTTTATTGTTAGAAACCTTAGATGAATATAAAGAATTATGTGCAAAACTAAGGCAAGCCGAAAAGGCAACTGGAATTTGTAGAGATCATGTTAAGTATCTGAATAGCTTAAGAAATGATGTTCAAGGCAGATTCTTTGAATTGTTAGATAAAAATATTATGCTAAAAGAATCCCTTGAAAGAGTCAAGAGTGAGAATATCATGCTGAATATTGAATTGACTCAATATAAAATGTTGTGTACTAACATTGATTCTTGCAGGTCTACTGAAGTTCCTTTAATCATGTTTAATAATGAACTAGAGCATGTTAAGAAAGAGATAAAGGAAACCAATGATGAGAAACTAGAAAAGGACCTAGAAATTGCAAGAAAAAGTAAAAATACAGCAAGCACGGGTGTTCCCAAGTGGGTAAAGGAAGCTCAGACAAAAAGAACAGAAGGTCTAGGCTATGTTCATAAGAAGAAGTCCACTGGAAAGAAAAAGAAATATGTGAACTTACCTAGTGAGACCGTTTGTTCTTTTTGTGGTAAAAAGGAACATCGCAGTGAAGAATGTACTAAGAAAGCAAATCTGTACAATAAGAATGTGAACTATGTTTGGCAGAAGAAATCTGATTTAAATGTGTCAACACAGGAACCCATGAATGAAAGGGTTCCTGCTACTAACCCTTAATTTCTTTTGCAGGTCGCAGTGAGGGGGAACAACCAGTGGTACCTCGATAGCGGTTGCTCTAAGCACATGACAGGAGATGAATCCAGATTTCTCTCACTGACGGCCTATACAGGGGGAACAGTGACCTTTGGAGACAATAAGAAAGGCAACATTGTTGCTGTTGGCAAAGTAGGAAGGTCAAGTTCCCATGCAATTGACAATGTATTTTTAGTCGAGGGTTTGAAGCATAATCTACTCAGTATATCTCAGCTTTGTGATAAAGGAAACTCTGTAAGCTTTTCTTCTGAAAATTGCAAAATCATCAACAATAACACTGGAAAAATCGTTTTGGAAGGAACTCGTAAAGGGAACACGTATACCGTGGATCTTAACAAAGTTCCAAAATACAATCTATCCTGTTTAAGTGTTATTGAGGATGATCCACTTCTATGGCATAGACGTTTTGGACATGTTAGTCTTTCATTGCTTGACAAATTAAGGTCAAAGGACTTGGTAATCGGATTACCTTCTATCAAATTCCTAAATGACAAAATTTGTGAAGCTTGCATCAAAGGAAAGCATGTTCGATCATCATTTAAATCAAAGAAAATGGTAAGCACCACAAAACCATTGGAACTCATTCATATGGATTTGTGTGGCCCCGTTAGAATTCAAAGTAGAAGTGGAAAAATATATGTCTTAGTTCTTGTAGATGATTATTCTAGATTTACATGGGTCATATTCTTACATAGTAAAGATGAAACTTTTGATATGTTTATGACTTTCTTGAAAAAGGGCTTAATTAGGCTAGATTTTATTTCTACTGAATGACAAATTGCTGATATATTAACTAAGCCTTTAAGCAGAGACAAGTTTGAAAAGATGCGTGTGGAATTGGGGATGCTACGGCTCAAGTGACTTTTGTTTGGAACCCCTAAGGTAAAATCGGATGTAACTAACGATGCTATGCTCAATCTTGTGTGCATAACACAGCTGAAATTACCCAGGGGAAAGATTTGTGAAGTATTGAAAAGTCA